AAGTTGTACTTTTCTAAGAATTTGTCCATTTCTTCCAAGTTGTCCATTTTATTGGCATATAGTTGCTGATAGTAGTCTCTTATGATCTTTTGTATTTTTGTGTTGTCTGTTGTGATCACTCCATTTTCATTTCTAATTTTATTGATTTGATCTTTCTCCCTTTGTTTCTTGATGAGTCTGGCTAATGGTTTGTCAATTTTATTTATTGTCTAAAAGAACCAGTTTTTGGCTTTTTTGATTTTTGCTATGGTCTCTTTTGTTTCTTCTTCATTTATTTCTGCCCTGATTTTTAAGATTTCTTTACTTCTCCTAACCCTGGGGTCCTTCATTTCTTCCTTTTCTAGTTGCTTTAGGTGTAGAGTTAGCTTATTTATTTGACTTTTCCCTCATTTCTTGAGGTAAGCCTGTATTGCTATGAACCTTCCCCTTAGCACTGCTTTTACAGTGTCCCACAGGTTTTGGGTTGCTGTGTTTTCATCTTCTTTCCTTTCTATGCATATTTTGATTTCTTTTTTGATTTAGTCTGTGATTTGTTGGTTATTCATCAGTGTGTTGTTCATCCACCATATGTTGGAATTTTTAATAGTTTTTCTCCTGTAATTGAGATCTAATCTTACTGCATTGTGGTCAGAAAAGATGCTGGAAATGATTTCAATTTTTTTTTTAATTTATCAAGGCTAGATTTATGGTCCAGGATGTGATCTATCCTGGATAAGTTTCCATGTGTGCTTTAGAAAAAAGTGAAATTCATTGTTTTGGGGTGAAATATCCTGTAGATATCAATAGGTCTAACTGGTCTATTGTATCATTTAAAGTTTGTGTTTCCTTGTTAATTTTCTGTTTAGTTGATCTATCCATAGGTGTGAATGGGATATTAAAATCTCCCACTATAGTTGTGTTATTGTTAATTTCCCCTTTCATACTTGTTAACATTTGTCTTACATATTGCAGTGCTTCTATGTTGGGTGCATATATATTTATAATTGTTATGTCTTCTTCTTGAGTTGATCCTCTGATCACTATATAGTGACCTTCTTTGTCTCTTTTCACAGCCTTTGTTTTGAAGTCTATTTTATCTGCTATGAGTATTGCTACTCCTGCTTTCTTTTGGTCTCTATTTGCATGGGATAACTTTTTCCAGCCCATCACTTTCAGTCTGTATGTGTCCCTTCTTTTGAGGTGGGTCTCTTGTAGACAACATAATAGGGGTCTTGTTTTGTATCCACTCCAGTATTCTTGTATGGAAAATTTCATGGACAGAGGAACCTGGTGAGCTACCGTCCATGCGGTTGCAAAAGAGTCAGACATGACTGAGCATGCACACATCAAGATGTGAAGATTGAAATGAGAGTGGGATTCCATTTCCAAATCTTTTTACAAGTTTCTCTTCCTTCCAGTCTCATTTTTCTTGTTTCTCAGATTGAAATAACTTTTTTTTATTGTTGCTCTATTCTCTTTGTATAGAAAAAATGTATCTCAAAATATCTTAAACCAGCTTTACATGATAGATCTTTTTCTAGTCTGTCTATTGAAATACAAAGTCCTCTTCCAAAGTACATTATCTCAAAATTTGCATTTATCATTGAATTCTTGGAACTGACAATCTGCTTGAATTCCTGGAATCTGCTGAAAGCAGATGAATTGAGCTATTGAATTCCAGTCTCATCTAGTGATTTTATTTTGGGAAAATTCATATACTACCATCATCGCAGATGAAGTCCATGTAAGTCATGCTTGCTAACTTTCACAGTTCCTTCCACCTTTTCTTTTCCTTCTTCCATATCTTAGACCAAGGGTGGAACACATACCTCTGGTCATAAGAGAGAGATTGAGGCTGACTTACCACCACCTCCTGCCTCTGTGGGCATCCACTGTGGTCTAACTCTGTCTGTACTCAACTGCTTTCTAATAAGCTGTGGCTGATTGTATTCCATCTTTTAGAGATTATCAGGCTCTCTTCATGAGATCGCCCTTCATCAGCATTCACTTCATGATTCCAGACTTCGTCTTTTAATCTGTTAGTTTTCCAGTGTTGGTGCATGTGGGAAATTCTACATTCTTTACACATCATAATTAATCCATAGCAGACTCATGTGGAGGCAGGTTGTGGAGGATACTGTCTTAGTCCCATTGAACTAAACACCTTCTTCAGCCATTTGTAATTTTCATAAAGGAACCAAGTTGTTTTCTAGCCATGCTGAGTGTGGTACTTACCTAAGGGTTTTACTTTTTTTTTTTTCTTTCTGATTTTGTCCTGGGAGTTAAAGAAAGTCCTACTTCTCTCTGGAACACTTGAGTTTATCTGAGTTTTTTTTTAACATGTTCTTCCCACTCTGTTCTTCTTTTTTTTTTATTTAATCAACGTCGTCTTTATGTCCTCTCTTGGTTCTTGAATCTGGCTCTGCTACTATTCTTTAAGCCACCTTAAAGTATAGTCATCACCAAAAATCTACCTATGTGTAAAACTTGATGAATTTGGTGATAAGGACATGCCCTTGAAATTATTAGCATTATCAAGGACATAAACATATCCATCACTTCCCAAAGTTTCCTCTTGCCCTTTATATTATAATCATTATTCTGTGGATGTGGTAAGAATATTTAATAAATGGTTTAACTTTGGGGAGAAGTTTAAGTATACAATAACATATTTTTTAAAGCTATAGGAATTAAGTTGTATAGTAGATTTCCAGAACTTATCCGCTGCTATCATTTCCTAGCTTTACTGAGGTATAGTTGACAAATTAGATTATAAAGTATTTAAAGTGTACAACTTGATGCTGTGATACATGTATACATTGTGAGGGTCTTTCATGATAGCTCAGTTGGTAAAGAATTCGCCTGCAATGTACGAGACCCTGGTTCAATTTCTGGGTCAGGAAGATCCACTGGAGAAGAGATAGGCTACCCATTCCAGTATTCCTGGGCTTCCCTTGTAGCTCAGCTGGTAAAGAATCCACCTGCAATACAGGAGACTTGGGTTCGATCCCTGGGTTGGGAAGATCTCCTGCATAAGGGAAAGGCTACCCACGCCAATATTCTAGTCTGGAGAATTCCATGGACTGCATAGTCCATGGGGTTACAAAGAGTAGGACACGACTAAGCGACTTTCACTTTCACTTTACATTGTGAAATTATTCACCCTGTTAGGTGAATTAGTACATTCATCATTTCATGTATTTATCCTATTTTTGTATGTGAATACATTTAAGCTCTACTCTCAACAAATTTCATTTATATAATAATTATAAAATTCTATTGCTTAATTATATAATAATTATATAGTGTTCTCATCATGTTATACATTAGATCTTCAGATCTTATTCATCTTACAACTGAAAGCATGTATCATTTTACCAATTTCTGTTTTCCACTGGCAATTACTTTTCTACTCTGTTTCTATGAGTTAATTTTGATTAGTACAGCAGTATTATAGCAAACAGAAATGACAAGAGAAGGCATTATTGCCACTTGATCTCAGAGTTAATACTACCAGCTATTACTGTTAAGTATAGTGTTAATTGTGGATTTTCCATTTATTGCTTTCATTATGTTGAGGTACAGTCTTTCTACACTAATATGAAGAGAGTTATTATAATGAAAGGATGTTGAATTTTGTCAAACGCTTTTTCTATACCTACTGAGATGATCATATGACTCTTATTACTTTTTTTTTTTATTAATATGGTGTATCACATCAATCAATTGGCGGATATGAAACCATCCTTACATCCCCTGAATATTACCCACTGGATCATGGTTTTTGTTCCTTTTAAAGTATTGTTAAATTTGCTATTTTGTAAATTTTTTCATCTATGTTCATTGAGGATATTGGCCTCTTATTTCTCTTCTGGTAATGCCCTTGTCTGTCTTTGGTATTAGGGAAATGCTAGCATTGAAAAATGATTTTGGAAGTGTTCTCTTCTAATTTTTAGAAGATTTTAGTTAATTCTTTTTTTTTTTATGTTTGGTAGAATTCACCAGTGGACTTGTTCATTCGGATGTTTTGATTGCCAGTTCAATCACCGTATTTGTTATTAGTCAGTTCAGATTTTCTGTATATTATATACAGTATACTCTAGTACTTCTCTCTTCAGGAAGAAACAGGGTAATGGACATTTTTGCCTGCTTCTTCTGTACATGGGCTGGGGGTATAGCATCAGAGTATGTATGTGTAGGGGTGTTCCTATGTCCATTAAGAAGTGCTTAACTGTGTGGGACTCATTAATGGAAGTGCCATTGACTAACAGTGTCAAGTAGTTTGGAAGCCTGTTCCCTGGGTGTTAACTGCAAAAACTTTGGTGCAGACATGTGTATAAGCTTCCAGCAGGCGATACTGGTGATTCGGATTAGGCGACATGGAGATGCTAGAGGAGGAGACTGCTGGCATTCCAAGTCCCTGGGCAGGATTAAATCAGAAACTTTTTAAATTAGAAGCCTGACCCTCAGTCAACAGCTTTTAAAGTATGCATATGGACTCTTTTCCAGGTAAGACAAGGAGATGAGCATTTTTGTCTGTTCCTTCTAAGAACCCCTGTGTTTGCTACATTCCTGTGGGGTTTGTGAATGGAAGTCCCTTTGGGTATCAGAGTCAGGTGACCTGGTGACCTGACTCTCAGGCAGCAATGCAAAAGCTAGGGTGTAGAAATGTGTACCAGTTCCTTATAGGGATAGATTGGTGACTTGGAGTGGGCTACAAAGAGATGGCAGGGAAGATGTCTCTCAGTTTAGAAGATGAGTGATTTCCATCTGTTCCCTCTTCACTGAGCCCACTTTTTGCCTTCAGTAGTAAACACCAAACTTCTCTTAGTCTCCTTATTAACAGGGGGAAAAAATTAAGAAAAAAAGAGAGCTAAATTGCATAAAAGGAAAATATACATAACGTTATTTGAAAATATTCCCCAGATACACAATTTATTGTCCATTACTATTTAATGTCTCTCGACAAGAAATAGAGACATTTTGTAACTCAATGAAACAGTCATTTTCTATATACATACTTTTGCTCACAAGGTAATGGTTGGGAATTTTTAAAACCACAGTTTCCAAAACTATTATGCAAAGAATTAACTTCTTCAAAACAGGCAAATGGAGCACCTTGAGCACCTTAAAGTGAAAAACATGTCCATTAAATTATTATTCTTAATGCAAATAAAATATTTGTCAATAAAAAGCTAATGAAACATGGCATAAACAAAAAAAAAATTGTGGTCTTGGTCATGCTTCCCCCCCACCCCCCACCCCACGTGTGTATCTTGTCAATGGACTTCTCAGGTAGCTCTAATGGTAAAGAAACTTCCTGCCAACACAAGAGACAAAAGAGACAGAAGATTTGATGACTGGGTCGGGAAGACTGCCTGGAGGAGGTCATGGCAACCCACACCGGTATTCTTGCCTGGAGAATCCCATGTGCAGAGAAGCCTGGAGGGCTATAGTCCATGGGGTCGAACAGAGTTGGATATCACTAAAGAGAGTTAGCACACACCCTGTCAATGCAAGTAGAAAGAAATGACTGTCTTATCTGATAGAAAATAGAAAATGATTATCTCTATTGTAGCAAAGTATCTTATAGTTAAAAGCAATTTGCTGACCCCTCCCTGTGGGAATGCCTCTTTCGTAGTCCAATGTACATCAGGCTTGACCTTGTAACTTGCTCTACTTAATGAAATGAGTGATTTGAAACATCAGTTGGGGTAAAACCTTCAAAACTAGTAGATGGAGTGTCCATATTCTCTTTTTTTCCCTCTTGCAAGATAAGCAAGGTTTTAAGTAGAGGCTCTTTAATCAGTTTGGGTGTCATAGTGAAGGCAGAGCAGAATATAGCAGAGTAATTTTATTAGATACGTAAATCTCAGAGATTTGAGGTTCATTTCCATTTCAATAAACAGAAAGACTGGTACCTAGATGTGGAATTCTACTGTAAAATGCACCTAAAATGTGGCCTTGTAATTGAAGCCTGCCAGTAGATGGAAAGAAAGAGAGTAATGTCCTCTATACAATGCTGAAACTTCTAGAGGAACTATCTTCTCAACAATTTAAAGGTAAATAATGTCTTTAGTGAGCTTACTTCCCTGTGCAAGGTGGTCAGGAAACAGAAATGTTTCTTAATTACTCTTGACTGATTTTAGCCAAATGGTGCAAGTAGTCAAGAAAGAGATAAGGCAAACTCAGAAAAAGAATCAGTTATTTCAGAAACAGGAATAAAAGAAAATAAAGTTCATACTTCAGGCATTTGGGTGGATGATGACAGGTGCTAACTGACATAAACTGGGAAGTCATTATGTCCAGTTGGTTGTTCTGTGCCTAATCCATGGTGAGTGGGTTTTTTTGTTTGTTTGTTTTTTGGTGACTATTAACCTGATGGATTAATACAAAGATCTTCACATTCTTGTTCATGTCCATGTGTCTATCCCAGAATTCTTGTCTATAATCTAATCTCTCTGCATCCAGGTTCACCACCAACCACCTTGGCCCTTTGTCACTGTCCATAAGTACATCTATAATCCAATCTCTAAACATTTCTTCTTCATAGGAAATGAATGATCACATGGTCAAAATCTTTTAAGGCATCCTCCCAAGTAAGACTGTAATGTGGCTACTATCTTTTTTCAATGTATAACCAGTTACTGAGCCAACACACCTATAAAACTAGCCTGGGCTTATTCTTTCTGCATCCACCAGTCATAATGAGATTCCATGTGTCCAATTGCTGAGAGTCAAGGAGAATCAGAGGTGTAAGAGGGTAGGAAGGCATACTGTTCTAGACTTCCTGCTCATGAATTTTTCTTCTGCTTCTCTTTTCCTTGAGCTTGAATCTGAATGAATGAATGACTTCTATCTATTGAACCATCTGACCTAAAGGATTTTACATAACTGAGCTTATGGTGAGTAGTTCTCAGTATATGATCACTGGATATCTGAAAGCCAGATGGTTTATCTCTACAGGCCAGTAGTGTGCCCAGAGTTGTCAAATTAGTGCAACTTTCTAAAACGTAGCTAGAACAGGCTTCCCCCGTGTTTCAGAGGGTGGTCCAGCACAGTTTTGCTTCTGGAACCCCAGGGAACTGCCTTGCTATTTTCCTAAGAAGCTTAGTAGAAGCACCACATGGCATTTATTTTTCTCATAACCCACACCTCTAGTAATGGGTCTTCTGTGTTTTATGATTCAAAATGCAGGGCTGTTTGCATTGCAGCTTAGATACGCTGCAAGGGCTTATTCTGTTTTTTTTTTTTACCTCCCTCAATATTAGCAACATTTCACATCACCTGATAAGTGGAAGCAGCACTTCCCCATCTACTGCCTCTAGAACCCAAAGAAGACTACCTTTGGGTACCATATTTGTTTCTTTTCATATGAAATGCAAGATACACACGGTTTGTCTTTTACTTTGCAGAGGGTGTCAGGTCATGCCCGTGATCACTGGACTCCTAAAACTTTCTTGATATGACAGGTTCCTAAATATTTCTTCAGAGTATCTCCTGCCCTTTCGTAGCACATGTGTTTTACTTAGTCCTCTTACATTCTAGCTTGTTTTTGTTTAGTCACTAAGTGGTGATTGACTCTTTTGCGACCCCATGAACTCTATATTATATACTAGCCAACCAGGCATGTCTGTCCATAAGATTTCCCAGGCAAGAATACTGGAGTGTGTTTCCCTCTGCAAGGGATCTTCCAAACCCAGTGATTGAACCTGCATCTCCTGTATTGGCAGACAGGTTCTCTAACACCGAGTCATGAGGGAAGCCCATTCTAGCTACATTTTGCTTATCTAGCCAGGTTAGTACAAAATCAGTGATAGTGTGGATCAACATGATCTTTTCTGGGATGCCCAAATCTCTTCAACTACATGTGGCTGGATGTAGCTATATTTTAACCCTAAATTAATACCATAATCCATTCCATGTGAATGAAAACTGCTTCTCTTTCTCTTCTCAGGTAGGAATAGAAAAGAATATAAATATTTGCCAAATCAATGGCTGCACTCCTACCACATATCTAAGGTCATGTTGATCTGCTCTAGTATAGTCACCACATGGGCAGAGCAGGTACATGTACTTAATCTACTACTTGTTCATATTTACAATAGATACTATTATCTTCCAGGGACCATCTGGTTTCTGCAAGGGTCCAGTTGGGTCGTTGGTGCAGATATTGTATAGCCAACAAGTCTGCATCCTTTAGATTGTTAAACAAAGCACTAATTTCTGGAAGGACTTTCTCCATGGCCTCCCCAAACTGACCAAGGACATAATGATGGCATTGCACAAACTACCATGATGTGGACTACAATAATACACTCTAGGACTGAGAAGGAACTACCAAATGGACCTGTGAATCTAGCGGACCCATTATAAACTGAAACTTGGCAAGGATTCTTAATCATTTCCTGACTCCTCTAAGTGCCAGCTCTCATGGAGAGACCATGATGAAACTGGGTTTCTGAAAATTGCTTAGAATTTGAACAGGGAATTATGATATTCAATAATGTAATCTTTTTCAGTCTCTCAGTCATCCATTTTTTTTATTTTCTTTGATGGTACAAAGAGGACAATACCTTTGTAGGCTGCCCATATAACACATTAGAATAGAAACTATATTCTATAATATTAGCCATCTCTCTGACAGTTAGTAAATCAGGTATCCACATCTGCTACTCTGTTCCTGATGCTTATTATAAAAATTCTATACAGCTGTTCCAGGCACTGCTATCTGATCTTGATTTTTTCAAGATCTTATCATGCCAATTACCATCAGTGAACCTCTTTCTATATTATCCCCTCCTACCATCATTGCCTTGGCCTGCAGAGAAGGCCATTATTGAAATATATGGTGATTCTGATACTCTTCTCACCAGCACATCCCAAGGCCTTGGTCCTTGCTGTTAGGCTTAATTATTTGACCTTGCACATGTAGTATGTATATTACAGAATGCCCACTTCCCTGAGCCTTTCCTTCCTTTACTCCACTAAGTGATACAACAATTCTTTCATTTAAAATTCACTTAGAATGGGCCACCATACTGTCACCATGCTTATTTAACTTACATGCAGAGCACATGATGAGAAACTCGGGGCTGGATGAAGCACAAGGTGGAATCAAGATTGCTGGGAGAAATATCAATAACCTCAGATATGCAGATGACACCACCCTTATGGCAGAAAATGAAGAAGAACTAAAGAGCTTCTTGATGAAAGTGAAAGAGGAGAGTGAAAAAGTTGGCTTAAAGCTCAACATTCAGAAAACTAAGATCATGGCATCTTGTCCCATCACTTCATGGCAAATTGATGGGGAAACAGTGGAGATAGTGATAGACTTTATATTTTGGAATCCAAAATCACTGCAGATGGTGACTGAATTCATAGAATAAAAGACCCTTACTCCTTGGAAGGGAAGTTATGACCAACTAGACAGCATATTAAAAAGCAGAGACATTACTTTGCCAACAAGGGTCCATCTAGTCAAAGCTATGGCTTTTCCAGTAGCCATGTATGGATATGAGAGTTGGACTATAAAGGAAGCTGAGCACTGAAGAATTGATGCTTTTGAACTGTGGTGTTGGATAAGACTCTTGAGAGTCCCTGGGATTGCAAGGAGATCCATCCAGTTAATCTCAAGGGAAATCAGTCCTGAATGTTCATTGGAAGGACTGATGTTGACATTGAAACTACAATACTTTGGCCAATTGATGCGAAGAGCTGACTCACTTGAAAAGACCCTGATGCTGGGAAAGATTGAAGGTGAGAGGAGAAGGGGCTGACAGAGGATGCGATGGTTGGATGGCATCACTGACTCAAGGGATATGAGTTTGAGTTACCTCCAGGAGTTGGTGATGGACAGGGAGGCCTGGCGTGCTGCAGTCCATGGAGTCGCAAGGAGTCAGACACGACTGAGCAGCTGAACTGAACTGAACTCACCTAGAATGGGCCATCACGTTATTTTCAATGTTTTTGGAAACAATCCCAGCAAAAATGTTTACTATCTTCTAGCATCCATGCAGAATGTTGATTCCTCTATCTTGGGAGAATGATTCCATAAGAAAAGACTCTCTCCTACCAAGTCTTATGGCCCTGATCCAGTCTTATGACAAAGGACTCTCAGAATCCAG